TATTTATTTATTTATTTATAACATTCATATATATATATAAGTTGTTATTTTTATTAAATATTTTAATTTATAAGTGGAATCAAATAGAACGATTGGAAGGCGACAAATGCTGTATATATTTATATATTCGTCTGAGATTTTGAGCTCTGAAAGCTGTCATGCAATTTCCTCAAATTTGGATGGTCAAATCTACTAACTCCCCTTTTGACGTGACTCTTTCCAGATTTTTATTTATTTTTTAAATATTCTATATACTACATGATATCGACGTAGAAAGCTGCTCCGCGAGCCACGTGGAAGTTAAATTGAGAGTCAGTACAGCTATGTAGATGGTTTCTATGTTAAAGATAGGAAAATATAATATAATATGTGAGTTGCAGCTAACTGAAGCTGCACTTTTCATAATTTTATTGTTTAGCTTGTTAACTGATTTGCTGCTAGTATGATGCCAGTGCTTGTTTGGCCATTTTGCCAAACAATTATACTATTCATTTAGGGGTTTTTTCCCCCTTAACAGACAATCATTGCTCTGCATATATTTGGAGTTATTGTAGAATTTGAGCATATATTGAAATGTTCAGTGACATGTGTGCTTTATCCAGAAGTCACACTTCAAGAGATTAAAGGTTTAGAAATGGGAGAAAGCGAGTGAGAGGGGTGTGGAGTTAGAAGGAGCGCACAACTATTTGCCCCTCTGCAGCAAATTGAATTGTTCATCGGGTCTTATAGCACTTTTTTATATAATCAGATATTTTTTATACATGAGAGGAGCAAAAAAAATTTCTTTTATATGAAATGATTCTCTATTTATCAGTGATTTAGGGTTATAATATGAAGATATTACATTTCTAAATCTTGTTTAATAAGAGATGTACATGTTATTTTAGGTATTTTATGTGTAAAACATTCAGCTCAGCTATATTGGGTTGTCGTGACTTTAGGCAGTCCTTGCTTTGGGTTGTCCAGACATCTGATCATCTAGGCTTCGGTTCCTCTAGGGCTCGGATCCTCCAAGCTTCTGGTCATCTTGGCCTCGGGTCGTCTAGGCTTATGGTCCTCCCTGGCTCAACTAGTTCTGGCTTTGGTTCGTCGTGTCTGCTGGTCATCATGGCCACAGATTTTACTTCAAAATTTGGGTTGTCCTGGGCTCGAGTCATCCTGGCGTCAGGCCATCTAGGCTTCAATTCTTTATGACTTATTAGCTTCGGCTCGTCCTAGCTTCGACTCACCGAAGTCTTAGGTCATCTTGGCCTTAGATCGTTCAGGCATCTGGTTGTCCTGCTGAGAAATTCAGTCCGTTCGACATATTTTTTATATACAATATGAAATTTTCACATTTGGTTAGAAATTCTAATTTTTCGACTCTGTTAGAAATAAGTAGTAACAGTTTGGGTAACAAAATTTTCGCTTTTTTTCTTTTCCAAAATTTTACTTTTTAAAAATTGTTTTGATTAAATTATCAAACTCTTAATATTAGAAAATTTAGTTGGAAAAAGTCATTATCTTGAAGAATTGATAAAAAGAAATTATTTTTGTAATTAATTAATCTTTTTTTGAGAAGATTTAATTAATTATGTGTCATAGAGTTTAATGTATAAAAATTTTAAAATGTGTGCTTATCAACGGATCCTTATATCATATTAATTAACAATGATAAGTTTCATGTTATGCTATAATAAAATGTCATCATTTGGTAGATCTAAAGGTAATACATCCAAAAATAAATATAAGATCCCAATTAAGTAGTTTTGCAGTTTTAAAAATCATATAAGAATTAAAAACTCAATTACAATGCTTAAGAAATATAACAAATTAGATAAATTAAAATTAATATAAAATAAATGGCCCTATTCAATTAAAACTATATTAAGTGATTATGATTTGTGCTCTACATTACAAAATAAAAATAAGTAAATAAGACATTAGAAGATTAAATAGGCTAGTTACAATATAGTAGCATAGATTCTATGGCAATGTTGTAAAACCTTCCATATGAGAGGGAGGGAGGGAGAGAGAATCATATTATTGATTTCAAAATTCAATGATCGATATTCTCTGTAAGAAATCAAAGTAGTAGTAAACGAAACAAATTCATATGTCATTAAGGATGTGGCCATGAAATCATATCTAAGGAATGAAAACAAAAAATAGAAAACAAATCAACATTATTTCTTAAATCACAATCCAATATAAGAAGCATCATATGATATTCTATTTTTGATAACCAGCTGTAGCTGTTTGAAGTAGTAGCCATGAAAATACTGCAATAAAAATCACTTTCCAAAAAATACAATGACTATTACAAATTCATTTTATTTTAAAAAAGTCAGACCACAGCTTTCTGGCAGCTGTCACCGTATTTGACTAGGTCAGGTTGGAAAACTCAACTTCTCACCACAACTTCTTGAAAAGGCAAGCAAAAAATACAATTTTTCCAAATTCCTAATAAATTATTGAATTTAACTATTTCCCTAATTAACATTTACTCACAAAAAATAAAATTATAAATCCCTTGCTTAATCAAAGACAACCACAACTATCAAATAATGAAAGAAAAGAAAAAAAAAAAAAAAAAAAAAAAAAAGAGCAATTGAGACGACAATTAAACTACAAATCTGATGATGACGAATCATGAGATTTACGCTGACCAAGTCTGAGCTCCAAATCCAAATCCTCCTCAACCACCACCTCCTTCTTCTTCCCCTCCTCCCCCTCCTCCTTCGGGCCTGGCCGGCCCAACCCAAGCTGCAGCTCTTCGCCGGCCTGAACCAGCTCCGTCATCAAGCCTTCCCCCGATGAAACCGGAAAGTAAACCACATAGGACTGATCCACCGTTTGTTTCGAGACAGGCCCGCTTTGGGGCCTGGAATAAGGATGGTAGGCCTTTTCGCCTCTTTTTGGGCTGGATGACGACGGCCCAGCAGGCTGCAAACGAGCCCGATCTTTCCGGTGGATGTTCATGTGCCCGCCCAATGCCTGAGCCGTGGTGAAACCTCTCTTACAGAAGATGCAATCGTAGAACCGGACTGAGCCGGCCGAAGTCCCCGGTTCGTCAGCAGCCGGCTCAGTTGATTCGGCCTGATTATCGCTTGTTGCCTTCTGCTTCTCCTCCTCTCCTTCTTCCTCTTCTTCCATGGCTTATGATGCAGTAAGAGAGAGAAACACACTTTCACAGAAGGCTGAGGGAGACTTATGTATAAGCTCATATTTAATATATATATATATATATAGTATTTGTGGCCGGCCGGAGAAATGACTATAGTACTCTCTCTCTCTCTATCTCTATCTCTATCTCTCTCTGTTTCTCTCTCTTAGGGTTTGGAAGAATTTGTGTGAGAATGAGTACAAATTGAGATTCTAGACCGTCGTCGTTGGGAGAGCTGTCTCCTCATATACAGCTAAGTTGAGAGAGATTGGGGGGGGGGGGGGGGGGGGGGGGGGAATCATGAGGAAGAGACTGGTGGAGGGCTTGCATGTAATTATTTATAATTTATATGCAATTTATTATTAAATTATTCAGTAATTATGGAATTAAATACATGTGTTAAAAAAAAGCACTAAAATTTACTAACGTAAAAACGCATAAGGATGATTTTAAAATGCTGCCATATATTCTAAAAATCTTAATGCTTTAGACAAATGGTCACTAACGAAGCTTTCTAATTAATTGCAGATTGATTAATCCAGCTGTTTAACACAATCTTTAACCTGAATTTGTGTTGACTCTTTCAATCATTTTCTTTTGCAGTTTGGATATTGAGTGCCGACTTTATGAGAAGTTAGAAGTATGTTAAGACGTTGTTCGTCGATGGTTGGATATTTTCTCTCGTATGATCAGGTCTCTTGTTCGAATTTTATCGATCAAAAAAGAAAATTTTATGATGATATATAGATTTGGATTAAGATGGCTTAATTTTAGGAGTATTTACATGCATGCCACACAATTATTATGTATTTACATATCTAACATCTAATAAACATTGATATTTATATGCACGTACACCGCTTAAATCTTTAATATCATGTCAAAAATATCTCAATAGTTATCTTTCTAAAAGTGAAATACAAAATTTACATACATTTATGATGCCAAAATGAGAGTCATATATAATGGGAGAAAATATTAGGTCAGCATCCGGAGTCCAATAGGAGGGCGACACGTGTAAAGTGGACCCATCATGTGACGCCTTCTTATTGGACTCCGGATGATCCAGAGTCCTGACCTAATATTTTCTCTATATAATGGATGAAGTATCTATACAACAAAGTAGTAAGATATCTTTCGAGAAGATAAAAGACAATATTACAGATATAACATGAGTGTTTTTTAATGAAATCATTGTGATATTAATTTTTATGAGGACATCTCGCACAAATATTTTCACCAAATGTAAGAATATTACGCTGATTTATAAATATATATTTGTGATAAATTAAAAAAAAAAGTGCAAAATAACATTATAGTCATAGAGTGAGGCACAAAATGAAATAGAAAACAAAAAAAGATATATATTTTTCTATGTTAAAAGAAAGTGAAATTAGCTCTAAAGGATGGCCACCAACATGGTCAATATATGCTTGCCTTTAATTTCTCTTTTGGCCCACTCTCTAATTATAAGAGATTAAAAATAAAAAAAAAACAAGAAAATATTTTTTTTACATATGAGTGCACTAAAGTTTATATAATTAAGTTTTTAACACCAATTTCTTCAAATTTGAACCCTTTGGGACTAATCATATAAGTAAAAAAATATTTAAGAAGAGCGATGTTGAGATTAAGAAAATTAAGGAATGCC